ATTTAGTTTCGGAGTTCATTAAACCTGTTTTTTTCTTGAGATATTGATTAGTGTACGTTAGTCCCTTAATGATGAAAGAATTAAAACGAGTCATTCAGGAGAGTGAAATTATGAAGTAGGTATTTTAATATTAGTAAGTCTTTGCACTGATACATCAGATACATCAATTAACGTAAACTAATCCTTTACAGAGAAGACGATCAACGATGGCCAAAAAAGAATGTTGTTGGGCGACAAGAACTTGAAATTCGATTGGGCAATGAACACATCTCATTCGAGGTACAAAGTTTAAATCTGATTTTTTTTTTTTTTTTAGAGTTCATTTTAGATTGTATATTAAGCACAAATAAAAAATACTTTACAAAAATATAGACAGCAAAAATTGGGTCACTTGTTGACGTGCAAGAAAGTGATGATCCTGAAGGTCTACGTGTATTTTATTATTTAGTACAAGATCTTAAATGTTTGGTCTTTTCATTGATCGGGCTACATTTCAAGGTATTTCAGAATTGATATTAAGATAATCATATTATAGTAACTAATTATGTATGCCTTTTTTTTTTTTTTTAGATTAAACCTATCTAGCAAAATAAAGGAGTTAGTTATTTTTGAAAACATTAAAAAACATAAAATGTTCTCTTTAGTGATTTCCGGCCAATAATGAAGAAGTCGGCTAAAGCTAATTTTCGGCTTAGTCGGTCGATTTTTTTTTTCTTTTTTCAAAATCGGTTGTTCGATTTCTTATAATGGTAATGATAATAATTCACGCATAATCTTTTGATCGTTACAAAAAGTTGGTGCTTTGTGTATATATTGCAAATGGCAAGTAACAAATTATTTTAATAAACTGTTGAGAGATTTTGTTCACCGACGTTGCTTCTGGCAAGTTTATCATATTCTTCATACAATCGATTGTATTTTCGCGGGTCTTAATCTTTTTTGGATTGTTTACAAAATATTTCCAATTTGATAACTTTTATTTCATTTTTTTTTCCTAATGATTTGTAATTAATATCTAGATATTTATATAGCTAATGAGTATCTCAAAGTCTACATCATAATAAAAGTTATTATTACATGTTATAATGCAAATGTTAATTATTCCAAATCAGTCCAAAATTTCCTGATATGAGCCAGAATTATTTATCCAATTATCGTTTGGATTTGGATGTTTGGATTATTAGCGTTATATATTTCTAATAAAAACTATTCAAATGTCTAGTATAGTTTATAAATTTTGTCTTCTGATCTAGTGAACAATTAGATTGTTGATTTTACCACGTGACAATTAGCATCACATGATTACGGCGCCAATCACTATTCTGATCAGAACTTTCTTTTACCAACATCTATAACCTAAACATCTCTTTCATTTGAGGTTGTGTTAGAGT